AACTTTAAACATGGATGTTAAATAATTGTGCAAACAAATTTCATGAAGAACGTTGACTGACTTAGGAGAAGGAACCATTTTCAAAGAGATTAGAAGCATCATTTACACATAAGCCAAATCAGTGAAATATAAATGGGGACTAAGCTGCTTTGATCCACTAATCATCTTTATCTGTTTATTAAGAATATCTCTATAAGACTACTTAGTAGTATAATTTCTTTATGTGACTTGAAAGTGAGACAGAATCATTTTAAGCCTACAATCCTGACTTTTCCTTAAACCAGATTGTCCTTCATATTGGCCCAAACTGGTGAGCTTTCTAAGACTGACTGGAATAAAGCACTAAGTTATAAATGCCGTAAGGACGAGTGCTCTGCCTTGTCCATTATTTCAAAACTAAGCCTACTGCTCAGCACGGTACCTGACACATAGGAGGTGCTTAGTAAATATTTGCTGTGTGCCAGGCATGGTGGCTCATGCCTGTAATCCCAACACTTTGGGAGGCCGAGGTGGGCAGATCACTGGAGGTCAGTAGTTTGAGACCAGCCTGGTCAAGATGGAGAAACCCCATTTCTACTAAAAACACAAAAATTAGCTGGGTGTGGTGGTGCATACCTGTAATCCCAGCTACTCAGGAGGCTGAGGCAGGAGAATCGCTTGAACCCGGGAGGTGGAGGTTGCAGTGAGCCAAGATTGTACCACTGTACTCCAGCCTGGGGGACAGAGCGAGACTCTGTCTCAAAAAAACAAACAAAAAAAACAAAAACAAACAAACAAAAAACATTGCTGTGTATCAGGAAACACTCGAGGGGCAGAGGATCCTGCGATGTTGTGTGTGTGTGTGTGTGTGTGTGTGTGTGCATGTGTGTGTGCATGCCTCAACTCCAAGTACAGGGAAGTTACCTCCATTTCTTCCATCTCCATGGCCTCCAGAAAAGCTTTTGCCTCAAGAGGTGCTCAGTGGCCAGCAGTGACTCCCTGGTGGTGGTTGGGGAGTGGGGTTGTTGCTGGAAACAGCAGGGAGTGGGAAGGAGGGAAAGGATGGGATAGCACACCTCCCTTCTCCCTCATTCTCTGTATCTATTCTAGGCTGTTATTCCCCTTCCTCCCCCAGTTCTGACTCTGAAAAGTATGTCTTTCCCCACTGGACACAGGCAACTGGTTCCCAACGTTATTGTGCTACCACTGTGGTCCCATGACACTCTTGCCTCCACCTCACCTTGTCAAGGTCATGTTTATCTAGCGACAGCCGGTGATACAGTAGGAAATAAAATGGCCAAAAGGTCCTGACTTCTTGCCCTGCTTCTGGAGTCACTGGAAAACCTGTTACCTTCACTGGGTCTCAGTTTTCTTATTTACTAAATAAGAAGTTGCTCTAAATACACCCATGAAATCCGTTCCTATGGAGGAAGACCTCCCAGGTTTCCAGAGGAAGGTGGTGGGTGGCCGAGGCCTGAGGGGCAGTGGTCGGGCTGGGTGACAACACTCTCACCTTCAGGGCCATCTCGAGCGTTGGCGATTCCTGCTCCCCTCCTCCTCTCTGGGAGGCTCCAGGTCAGGTTTAAATAATCAATCAACTTGCTTTTGGGAATTCAATCAAACTTGTCTACCTCAAACCTGCTGATTTATATATAGCACTAATTATTTATGTTCTATATTAAACTCCACTGTATTTCTTGGTGATATTAAAATATAAATTATGCAACAGAGATAAATTGATGGAAATTTTTCCACATGGGTATAAAGAACTGCTGTTCCTAATTATGGTGCGATACCAGTGGAGGTGGAAAAAGCAGGAGTCTGGGAAGAAGGGCCTTTACTGAGGTCAGGCAGTTTGGCGTCCATATGGTAGGGCAGAGTAAGAGCCTGCTGAAATGGAAGAACCAGATGCTCTGTGCAGGAACAGGCAGGGTCTTGGTAACTTCTTGTTCCTTTTTTTTTTTTTTCTCTTTTTTATTGAGACAGAGTCTCACTCTGTCGCCAAGGCTGGAGTACAGTGGTACAATCTCTGCTCACTGCAACCTCCGCCTCCCAGGTTCAAGCAATTCTCCTGCCTCAGCCTCCTGAGTAGCTGGGATTACAGGTGCGTGCCACCGTACTTGGCTAATCTTTGTATTTTTAGGAGAGATAGGGTTTCACCATGTTGGTCAGGCTGGTCTTGAACCCCTGACCTCGTGATCTGCCTGCCTCAGCCTCCCAAAGTGCTGGGATTACAGGCGTGAGCCACTGCGCCCGGCCAGCTTCTTGTTTCAATCATGGTACACTTTCTCTCCAACTGTCACTTCCTCCCCTTCACTGTCACCCACCCCCCAGAAGCCTGAGCAGGACAGGAGGATGGACTCAGCTGCCATGTGGCCACTGGTCAGATGGAAGCCACACCTTCTGTTACGTTCTGTGACCCCAGGCTGATGCCCCGCTCCAAGACACAGTCCCATGGGTGAACTCAGGGCTTTGACTGCATTTTGGATTGCAAATGAGTGAGAGAGATATCTTTAATTTAAAAAAAGTGTGAAATGCAAACTTTAGTTTACTAACAAGCATAACTCTTCATTGTAAGGCCCCTTACCTGTGGTCACTACATATGGTATATCATGAAATCAAGATTGGACCAGTGTCCTTTGCCCCCCAAACTATTTTTGTGTCAGGGCTGGGTCATCCCACTGGCTGGGACACTCTGCTGTTTTGGTCCCTGGCCTTGGCACCCTGATGTCCTCGTCTCAGAATTCCAGGGAAGGCATTAGGGATAGAGGAGGAGAGGTCAGAGCCACCTGAAGATGCATCCACATCAACCCTTTTAGGAACCACAGACAAGGCCAGTACTGTAGATGCAGGAGGACGGTCTCTGATGTGCTTCATTTTGAGGTGCCCTGGACAGGGCTGTATTGGGGTACATGAGCACCCCAGGTTGGCTAATCATCTGACACCTTTTCAAGGGGATACCACCTAAATATTTGCTCACACTTATTCAGAAGAGAAGTGGGGTGTGGCTCAGAGCACAGGAGGGGAAGGTCGCTGCACTGACAGCTTGATTTCACTGTGTCCAGGGCAGTTCAGCTCCGGCACCGAGGTTCCAAATCCCTCTTTGCAAAACAAGAGCGCCCATGTATACTTAAAAGCAGTTGAGATGGCACATTTTATGTTATCTCTATCTTACCACAATTAAAAATTAAAAATGTAAAAAAGAATAGAAGATCCCAGCAGTTACTTGGACCCACCCTCCACAGAAGGCAGCGTATCAACCATCCACGATCACACTCGTGTGCCCCTGTGGGGTACCACGGCCCCTCCTTGGGGGCTCCCACCCACTGAGTCCTCTCCTGGATAGGAGTCCTGGTCCACACTGTTTTGTTCCATCTGCTTCCATGTCCAGTGACGCTGGGGCAGGCCCTACAGACAGCCCAGGCGGCCGCCCTGCTTCCGGTGTTTCTTTACCGCGGGGCCTGGGAAAGCCCTCAGCGAAAACCATCTGCCCTGCCCACCGCCATGGAAACTCTGGGACTGGATGCTTCCCGTCAGAGGAAGGACTGCTCTGTTCAATGTAAGTTTTTAAAACATAGAGACACTCTGTGACCCAGGCTGGAGTGCAGTGGCATGATCATTGCTCACTGCAGCCTCAAACTCCTGGGCTCGAGTGATCCTCCCTCCTTAGCCTCCTGAGTAGCCGGGACTACAGGCATCTGCCACTGTGCCCGGCTGACTTTTAAATATTTTGTAGAGACAGGGTCTTGCTACGTTACCCAGGCTGGTCTCGAACTCCTGGCCTCAAGTGCTCCTCTTGCTGTGGCCTCCCAAAGCTCTGGGATTACAGGTGGGAGCCACTGTGCCCGAACTATTCAATGTAATCTTGACATTTAAACTCTTCTTGGGGAAAAGTACCACATGAAGTTAATACCTTCCCAACAAGGTGGTGAGATTGAGGGTGGGAGAGGATGGAAGGACACGGGAGAAACTGGGGAAGGAGAAAAGAAGAGAGGGTAGAGGTTGTAAGGGGAGACTCCAGAGAGACACAGGCCTTCTGATGCCCAGAGACCCAGGCACGACCGTGTTTGGGTACCCAGGGGACGATGCCCAGAGACCCAGGCAGGACTGTGTTTGGGAACCCAGGGGACTGGCAGTCTGCGATCTGAACAGGCAGAATCTCAGTCTGCACAGTTTAGTAGTTGCTCTGGAGCTTCAGCAAGACTAGCAACTCCGGCTAAATGCAGCCCAGGGCCAGAGTCACGTTAAGTCTGCAAAGGACCGGTGGGGTCGTGTGCACCACTCCTATTTTTGATAAAAATGGAAAATAAAACCGCCACCTCTTTCTTTCACTACATGTTTGTATAAGCCGCGGCTTATTCACCAGTGATGAGTAAACCATAAGTTACTTCACCCAAACGCTTTCCTCGGAAGGGAGAAAGAATTTAGAAATGACATTTAAAAATAAAGATATCCCAAATGTAGCTGAGCAATGGCTTGTAAGCATGATCCTACATCTCTTTCTAAGCATTTGTAACAATTCGAAATTGCCCTTGTTGGCTAGAAAGGCATGACTGCAAACGCTCCTCACGAATCCCCTCGGCGTTCTGGTTCAAAGCAGGAGTCGGGATTTCTCTGAAGGGGAAGGAAAAACCCAAAAGTGTCACAGGGAAATTACGAGGCCTTGTTACATCTCATTTCTGTACCTTGTACTGTGGCTTCCCTCGGTCTCCTGCCCCTGCCTCGATACTTTGTGCCTTTATGTCTTTTCTTTAAATGGCTATGATTCTGTCAAACAATGCCAAGCTTATTTTTCCCACCAAAAGCAAATCAGTTCTCTTACAATTTGCATGTCTTAGTTTACTACTTAGTGTATGCAACGCATGACAATTTTCAGGACTTTCAAATGAATTTCATGTTGCCTCCTTCTCTCCCTGGTGCCGTCTTATTTTAATACATTGGAGCCCTCGTTTTCTTCTTCCTGAAACTTGATCCAGAACCTCGCACACTGGGCAGATGGCAGGGACGGCGGATGGTCCTACCTTGCCCAGCCCCGGGGTGTCCTTCACCTTGTTGACAGCCCTCAGCAGACAGGGCGGGGCTGGGGGAGGGGAGGTCTGCAGAATCCCACTGAAACTGGTGGCAAAGAGCGGTGGTTCGGCAGCGGAAGAAGTGGGCCGATGTTTCTTCTTTTTAGAAGACAGATTTAACTTCTGGGCAGCTCTGGAGGGGAAAACACAAGAAAGGAACAATAAAGGGAAAATGACTGTACAATCAGATATGCTAGGCTTACTTCGTTTTTTTTCTCTTAAAAAACCCCTCGTTCTTACTGAGGCGTAATCATTCCTTCTCTCCTCCTGCTCAGTGTCCTCTGTAGCAGTCCCTTACCATAACAGAGTGCACTGAACGAGCTACCCAGTCATTTATACAGCAAAACGAAAAACAAAACCATAAAATAGCAGGATTCTGCAATCGCGATTTACAAAGAATTGTTTGTTATCCACCAATGTTGAGCTTAAGCAGAACAAAGCTGGGCATCTTTGGGGATAAACGGCACCCATTACGTTCATCACTCTACCGATGAATCACTTCTCTGGCATACACTCAAGTGCGAGACCTCATGAGCTAATCAAAAAACTCTAACACCTTGTAAAATCCAAACCAGTCTGATGAAGAACCATGTGGAGACCAGTCAAGGCATGCTCTGTACAGGGCACTGGAAAAACACAAGCCCCGGCGCAACAGAAACAATCAAACTGGTTTTAGAAATATAACACCAAACCAGAGGTGAACTCCAGCCAGGGTGTAGGGTGCTGAGACTGTGGGCTGCTCACATAGATAAGACGATACTGTGCAGGGAGGTCTTTAAATACAAAATGCAATTCATGGGTGAGTGCAAGGAGTAAGGGGTCAAAGCACTAAAGGGGGTACAGAGTGTGTAGGGAAAGGTGGGAGGGGAGGCAGCCAGCATCATTCATAACACAGGCTGTTTAAATGACATCGTACAACATTCAAGTATCCTGTAACACTTAAAACACAATAATCTTGGCCAGGCATGGTGGCTCACACCTGTCATTCCAGCACTTTAGGAGGCCGAGGCAGGCGGCTCGCCTGAGGTCAGGAGTTCGAGACCAGCCTGGCCAACATGGTGAAACCCCATCTCTACTAAAAATACAAAAATTAGCCAGGCATGGTGGCGTGCACCTGTAATCCCAGCTACTCAGGAGGCTGAAGCAGGAGAATCGCTTGAACCCGGGAGGCAGAGGTTGCAGTGAGCCCAGATAGCGCCATTGCACTCCAGGCTGGGCGACAGAGCGAGACTCCATCTCAAAAGAAAAAGCAAAACAAAACCATGATAATCTTATCACAGAAAAGAAGAAAAGAGGGGAAGGGGCAGTGTGAGGTAAAGGCATTTCACAGACTCTTAATATACTCATTTCTGGATTAATTCTTGATGTTTAAACACTAAACTCCTATTCTAAGAATTCTAATTTCCTCATCAAATGTTCGAAACATTTGAGCTGCCACTTAAAATGAAAGGACCACCCTGACTTTATTCTACTGATTAAAACCTTATAATTCATCCAATGTTCTTACCGATCGCAGAGCACATCATGAGAGAGGCAGGTCGGAAAGACAAAAGCAACACCATTTGCACCGCCTCTCCCTCCCCAGCCCCAGTCTCTTTTAATGGCCTGGGATAGTTGGTTTTAATTCTGTGTCATTAAGTGGCAGGCTTTTGACAAATTGCGAGCTAAAAAATTGCCACTGCACAAATATATCAAACGGTGTTACCATTTCAAAGCTTAATTTTTCTCATCTGTAAAACTGAAAATCTATTTCACAAGAGTGAAATACAGGGGATGAGATAAGTGAGGAATTACCGATTTTGATGGGAAGATACCCTAAGTCACCCTATGGAAGGATGATGAGAAAGGGAAAGCAGGGGACACTTTCTCTTTTCAACCAGTACGAAGAAAAAACTAGGAATACTTTTTTTCATGATTTCATTGCTACCCTTCCTGGCACTTTCCTTCTAAAATCAAGGGTGAAATGGAATTACTCAATGACTAGTCCTTCCTTTTGAGATTCTCTCCCTAAATGAACAGTGACTCATCCCAGGTCAGTCACTGGCAGGAGGCATCACATGGCCTTCTGACACCTGCATGCACCTCTGCTCAGTGATCCCTCCCTGCTTTCAAGCCAGACTGCCTATGTCTCAGAGGACTAGAAGAAGGAAGATGGTGATCTGCTAGGAACTAAAAGGTGCTGTTTATCCATCTACATTCAGGGTTCCTTTTCACAGTGAAAAAAAGAACCAGGTGGCCGGGCGCAGTGGCTCACGCCTGTCATCCCAGCACTTTGGGAGGCCGAGGCGGATGGATCACGAGGTCAGGAGATCAAGACCATCCTGGCTAACATGGTGAAACCCCGTCTCTATTAAAAATACAAAAAATTAGCCGGGCGTGGTGGCGGGCGCCTGTAGTCCCAGCTACTCGGGAGGCTGAGACAGGAGAATGGCCTGAACCTGGGAGGCGGAGCTTGTAGTGAGCCGAGATGGTGCTACTGCACTCCAGCCGGGCGACAGAGCTAGACTCCGTCTCAGGAAAAAAAAAAAAGGACCAGGTGATGGCTATGGTTCCCACTTCCCTACCTGCTGGGGTTCCCAGTCCACATGGAGAGACAGACAGGGGAAGGGAGTGACACCGAAAGGCAGCTTAAAACAGGCAGTAGCCTGATGGCTTTTTCCTTTTCTCATCTCTGCCACCCATGCCCACCCCACACATGCCCTGCCGCGGAGAAAAGCAAGGATCCTTGAAAGTAAAGCACACTCCAGGATATCCCTCCAAGGCTTCCCTCCTCCCTCTCCCTCCTACAAACTTTCACGCGACTAGATCATTCCCAACAGCACGCAGATGTGTTGTTACTTCTCTCATCTTAAAAAAATAAAACAAATCCTTCTCCTGATTCTTCTTCCCCAGCCAGCTACTGTTCTACTTCCTTGCCCATCCTGGCAGCAAAACTCAGGGAAAGTGTCATCTATGCTGGCCTTGTCCAGTCCCTCTCCTTCCACTATCGATAAGCTCATTTCATTCAGGCATGTGTCCCACGACTCATCTGAAACTGCTCTTGTCTGGGCTCCCGATGACCACCGTGATTGCTCAAGTTAATGGTTCTCAGCCCCATCTTGACCAATCAGAGCCCTCAGTAGGTCCTTCCTCCTTGATACACTTTCTGCTAGGTTTCTAGGACACCCTGGCCATTCCTTTCCAGCTTCCTTTGCTGGTTCCTTCTCTTGTGCCCAGCCTCTTAATGATGGCAGCCTCAGGGCTCAGCCCTCATCCTCTTTACTGCTGCACTCAATCCCTTGGTGTTTTCTTCCAGGATCATGATTTAAATAACATCCTGAATGCCTAGGATTAATCAATTTTTATTTCCAGCTTAGATCCCTCTCTGGAACTCCTTATTTATGTATCAAAATTACCTCTTCAACAATTCCACTTGGATATCTAACAAACATCTCAAGCTTGCCATCTCTAAAACTGAAGTCCTGATTTTTTTTTACCTGCAACGCTGTTACACATTCAGTCTTTCCTGTATCAGAAAATGGCAATTCCATCCTTCTAATGACTTCTTTGATGTTGACCTCTCTACTTCTCACACATCTAATCCATCAGGAAGTTTCGTTGGCTAAAACTTCAAAGCAGATCTATGGTCCAACCACCTCTCACCACCTTTACTACCATCTTGGTCAGAGCCACAGACTTCTCTTGCTGGATTGCTGCCACAGTCTCCTAACTTGTCTCCCATCTTCTGTATCCACTCTCCACCTGTCTATTCACACAGAAGCCAGAGTAACTTTTAAAATGTAAGTCTGCTCAAGGCCCTCCATTTGACTCTCCATATCACTCAGAGTAAAAGCCAAAGTACTTGCAGTGGCCTATGAAGCCTCTATGGTCTGTCCACTTCCCCCCATATCCCTCAGGCCACCTTTCCCACCACTCTCTTCTTTGATGATTGGCTCCAGTCATCCTAGCCTCCAAATACTCTTGGTCCAATCCCCATCTCGGGGCCTTTGCACAGGCTCTTGTGTCAGCCTGGAATGCTCTGCCCAGATGGAGACGGGCATATGGCTCACTCCCTCATCTCCTTTAAATCTTCGCTCAAATGTTACCTTATCCATGAACCTACCTTGCCCATCATGGCAGACAGTACTTTCCAAAGATGGCTGCATCCGTGTGTCTCCCACATGCACTTCTTACAACCTGACACTGATACTCTCCCCTTGACAGGTAGGGGTCTATGTTCCTTCTTGAACCCAAGAAAAACTCTGAAACTGCCCTGGCCACAGAATGTCATGGAAGTGATGCTGTAGAGCTTCTGAGCTTCAGACACAAAAGGCAATAATGGCCTCTCCCCGGATCTCTTTCTTGAGACACTCACCCTGGGAACGCAGTTCCCATGCTGTGAGGAAGCCCAGGTCACATGCAGAGGGTCATGTGGAAAAGAACCGAGGACCACAGAAGATGGTCCTCAACTGCCAGACATACGAAAGAATGAGCCTTTAGATTATTCCAGATGCCATGCTTCAAGTCTTCTGCCTGAGGTCCCAGACGTCATGGGACAGAGATAAATCACAGCCACTAAATCTTATCTGAAGTTTAGATCCCCAGCAACCACGAGAGATGATAAATGATCTTTGTTGCTTTTAGCCACTAAGTTTTGGGGATAATTTGTCACACAGCCACAGTAAAAAAACAAACAACAACAACAACAACAAAAAAACAAAAACAAAAACAAAAACCACTCACTCCCAGACTCCTAATTTCCTTTATCTTGGCTGTTCACAACCATGACACCTATTATCTTGTAACACAGCAGATGCTTTACTTCGTTACCATGTGTATTGCTTACTATCTGTTTTCCCTCTAGAATGTAAATTTTAGCAGGGAAGAGAGCTCACGGTATGTTTTGAATGAATGAACGAAGACGAGAGGAGCTGGGGATATTTAGCCCGGAGAAAAGAAACCTGGAGAAAGAGGAAGGAAAGAGTCTTTCAAAAAACTGTCTTTAATGAAATGAATAAATGACATGTGGAAGGAAGTATCTTTCAAGCAAGGATGCCAGATACTTTCATAAGCCATTTTTTTTAACCTCAAAAGCCCTTGTGAGCAGAACAATATTACCCCCATTTAACAGACAAACAAATGAAGCTCAAGGCA